CCCCTCTCCACTAAGTAACCATGGTCTGAAGATCGCAGTGGCTGGGTTTAACACACCTTAACCCCCTGAGATAGATGTATGGTGGGAGCGTTTGGCTTGCTTTGTTTTGTTGAAAATACTCATGGAGACACACATGGCCGATTAAGCTCATTCGACGAAGAAATGTGCTTCAGAATTGAGAATAATTGAGACGAAGGCGATGGATGTATGTTGGTGCTCCCGACACTGGTTTATAAGTCTCAGTGTAATGAATATGCAGGTGCAGGAGCCGGCCGATGTGTATGGATGTGTGGTAGCAATATGAAGAGTTTTGGCTGCTAGGGATATTGCGGGGTTGATGCTGCTACACGTCTACATTGCTGTATATACTGCTGTGGTGGATGCGCATGCAATGTAGGCATAGAAGCTAGGAATTTGACGATCGCGGAGTCTGGGATCCTGTCTTGCAGATGGTGGAACATGCAGCAGTAATGAGGTGGGAGAGCACTAACGATCAGTTCGTCCCTCACTCGACGAAACTCGGCCATCTCCTAAAGTTCGATGAGGCCAGGTTACTCATACGGGCTGATGATCGCGTGGGTCACGAGCGGTTTGCGTAATGCTTCGTCGACTTCAGTCGATTAATAAGCGTAATGGCCTCCACCTCCGTATTCTGTCATCGGACACACGAGAGAGCGCGGAAGACAAACAGTTCCAGTGATTGGTAGATAGTTTCAGTGATTGTGATCAAAATGCCTAGTAATTATCTGGCGAGCATCCGACACGAAGAATGAAATCGCGTCAATCAATGACGCCGGTGCGGACTGACGGGAAGGCACCGCATCAGGTACAACCCCAGCGATCAATGTGACAACTGCCAGTTAATTTTGCATGTACCGATACGGCAACTGCGTCCTATAGATCCTATTATCGTTGTGTGTCCAACCCCCTTTATCTCTGATGGTCTCTGATGATACGTTCGTGTGATAATCCAAGACTTCAGGTCCATAAACATATTGTTCCGGCGATCACATCCTTTTCTTGTGAACTCGTTCCTTGAATTCACGTAGTTGCTTCTACCAGCTTCGTGCATCTTGAGTCTGCTGGTTAGATGAAGTCCGTATCGATTTCGGACTGAGACCTGCAGCCGGTCGAAGGCTTGGCTGGCTTTGAAGATGCACTGTGCAAATTCATCGTCGACTTTGGTGTTGCGTGAGTCTTCTGCCTAGGTATTCGGAACTGTCCACGGTCTTTAGCTGGGTTCCGTTGACGGTGATGCCAAGGTCATTGCACGCAGTGTTGGGATTGATGGTTAGCCCGAATTGTGCACAGTTGGAGACGGAGACACCTCGGCTCCATCGCATATCCGCTTCTGTAACGGCGTTGGGCTTGCAATTTTCCGCGAAGAGCAGGCCCTGTACTGTTGCCATAGAGGGACGCGTCGACTTTGCATGTGTCAGCTATGAAGAAGCTGGTCGTCGGTCCTCTAGACAATGCTGACGCTCATCACGGTAGGCGTTCAGTAGTAACTTACTGTGCTGGAGACCATCATCAGGTCTGTAGTGATCGTTGCTGCCCGACACCGCCTTAAATCATGATGCCACAGACGAGGTCACTCAGAACAAAGGACCTCGCGTGAAGGCAGCTTTCGGCGTGCCTCAAGCTAGACGCACACTGACGCGCGAGCAAATGCACGCACCGTGTCTCCCCCATTCTGGCCTCAAACAACAATGGCGTGACTTTAATTCGTCTGGACAGACCTCAAGGCCGTGGCTGCCGCTAGC